AAACTCGTAGGATTGATTGTCAGGTCAGGCAGCCAACCACAGTTCACTCTATGGGAGTAGATGGTTATAGGAACCACATCCTGGGCAGCTGAGCTGATGGTTTCACTTTCACAGCAACCAGCATAAGAGGCTTTGCTAGCTAGCCTGTTTGTCACCTCTGTCCTCTTCCCATATCTCTGTCCTCTTCCCATGTCTGTCCCCCTTCTGTTCACTCCCCAGTCCACCTCATGATGAGCAACAGCCTGTCTCAAATTCTCTTGCATGAACCACTCATTTCATTTTCCCCAAGCCAGCTGCTAAAGAACACTTTCCTGAGGGGACCGGCTTTGGGAATCTATAACTTGAATGTCCCAAATCCAATCTTCATCAAAACTGGAGCAGGTGGGGAGGAAATTCAGTTGAAGGTTTGCTGGGAGTTCGGCGTCTCTAACTTGTGCAAGGAGCCATTATACCACTCCTGGATGTCTCAAATCACACAAACCACAAAACAGTTAATTTAATGGGAAATTTTGTGTAAATTTGTGGTTCGTGGTTCATGAACACAGTGATGAACAGAGATGGGGATATTCGTATACAAATATGAATACCTCTGTTGACACAGCAAGAGCTAACAGATATTTAAAGATCAGGGAGGGAAATCTAAATCTCTTCCTCTGAGAATTTCAGAACCAGACCATCCTCTTATGTGTCCGCCGGTGGTAGCAGCCTCAGTCAGCCTTCCGATTGCTCCCGGAGCACCACTCTCTTTCCGCTCATCTGGCCAAATCCAGCCAGGGGGAGGGAGAGTGAGTCTCCCTGCATGGCTCTGGTATGCATGCTTCTTCCATCACTTCAATAATCAAAGTAGTACACACACAGCATTATTGTCTTTGAATGCAGATATGGGGATCTGGCCTTCAGAGTAGAGATGGGCATGAAACAAACCATGAAGCAAAAAATAAACAAACAAACAAACACAACAACCCACCATGAATCAGGCCACTTCATGGTTCATTGTTCATTCCTGACATGGGGCACGACAGGAAAATGTACCCACCCAGAATGAAATTAAATGCCAAACTATTTGTCTTTGAATGCAGATATGGGGATCTGGCCTTCAGAGTAGAGATGGGCATGAAACAAACCATGAAGCAAAAAATAAACAAACAAACAAACACAACAACCCACCATGAATCAGGCCACTTCATGGTTCATTGTTCATTCCTGACATGGGGCACGACAGGAAAATGTACCCACCCAGAATGAAATTAAATGCCAAACTATTATCGGCATTAGCTATTCTATTCCTTTTAGTTTTGGGTGCATCTTCCCTGACCAGACAACCTATCAATAAATTCCCTAGGCAATCCTGGGGTGGACTTAGAGAAAACTCGTAGGATTGATTGTCAGGTCAGGCAGCCAACCACAGTTCACTCTATGGGAGTAGATGGTTATAGGAACCACATCCTGGGCAGCTGAGCTGATGGTTTCACTTTCACAGCAACCAGCATAAGAGGCTTTGCTAGCTAGCCTGTTTGTCACCTCTGTCCTCTTCCCATATCTCTGTCCTCTTCCCATGTCTGTCCCCCTTCTGTTCACTCCCCAGTCCACCTCATGATGAGCAACAGCCTGTCTCAAATTCTCTTGCATGAACCACTCATTTCATTTCATTCAAGCCAGCTGCTAAAGAACACTTTCCTGAGGGGACCTGCTTTGGGAATCTATAACTTGAATGTCCCAAATCCAATCTTCATCAAAACTGGAGCAGGTGGGGAGGAAATTCAGTTGAAGGTTTGCTGGGAGTTCGGCGTCTCTAACTTGTGCAAGGAGCCATTATACCACTCCTGGATGTCTCAAATCACACAAACCACAAAACAGTTAATTTAATGGGAAATTTTGTGTAAATTTGTGGTTCGTGGTTCATGAACACAGTGATGAACAGAGATGGGGATATTCGTATACAAATATGAATACCTCTGCACAGCTGGACTTAATGAGGGTCTAGTCCCTGGGGCCAGACCATCCTCTTATGTGTCCGCCGGTGGTAGCAGCCTCAGTCAGCCTTCCGATTGCTCCCGGAGCACCACTCTCTTTCCGCTCATCTGGCCAAATCCAGCCAGGGGGAGGGAGAGTGAGTCTCCCTGCATGGCTACCGAGGGGCTAGACGAGCAGAAAGAGAGTTGCGCTCCAGGAGCGATTGGAAGGCTGACCAAGGTTCCTGCCACTGCCAGATGTGTGAGGGGCCAGACCCTCGTGAAGTCCAGCTGTGCAGGGGTATTCATATTCATATACGAATACCCCCATCACTTGAGCCATCACAAACTGCCATTTTCCAGCTTCATGGCCATCTCTACTTAAGATTTCTTCTTGAACCAGAGAGTAAATTTGTGTTGGTCCTCCTCTTAATTTACAAGAGCCTGATCAGTACTACAGGTAAAGGAGGTAGAAAGCTAAAGAGGAAAGGTGAAGGGAAGGGGGAAAGCTACACCTGCCTTAGTATCTGGTACAGAAGTTAAAATGTTTATGCCTGGCTTGCAGGGTAGCCATTCTAGACAGACTTGGTTGAAAAAAGGGCTTTCAGAACACATAGATCTGTGACTATAGAAAGTCATCATTAGACCTCTAGCTATAAGCTACCCTAAATGATCCAATTACAGTGCTGTTTTGTATGTCCCCCAAATGGTAAGAAGTTTCAAGAGGTCTGTCTTCCTTTCAATGAGAGGCCACTAAAGACTTCTGACATTTTGAAAATATTTCCTTTATTTAAAGATATGCAAGCAGAGGCAAGCACATATATATTCCCACAATGCAACAGATCTACTGCCCTACAAATTCCAAGAAAGGAGCACTCTGCACATCTAGAAATACTTCTGTCACCTTTGAGTTGTATATTTCTGAACTGCAGTTTCTTACACATACAGATCCTGATTTGCTACCCACCTCTCCTTAGCTGGAGGATGAAAATGGGACAGTTTCCTGAAGCTGTAGTGGCTTCCCATTAAAAAAATTGCCACCTATCTCTCAATCATCTTATAAAAGTTAGTTCTCCACAAAAGATGTTAACACCCAATAAATTGATAACAAAATCAGTTAGTTTTACAAACATTCCTGAATATTTTAGAGGAAGGGCAGATTATATATCCTTTTAAAATATAAAACCTTTATAATGAAGATAGTATTCAAAACCTGATTTGAAATTATCAGTTACAGAATAGTTGGATATTGTTGACAACCAGATCAATTTCAGTCTTTCCACAACAGAACTTCTTAAACAGCCTTTAAACATGCAAATACACACAGACAAAACACAGTTTTCCCTTAAAGGTGGACGAAGTGACAGTGTTGTTATTTAATATGTTCCTAAAAAGAAATGGACACACGAAAGAATATAGAAGGCTCTGCTATCACAGCAATGACAAAATCACTGCTTTCAGATCAAGCTGAGAGAACAGCCCATCAGGTTCAGACGCTGTTTTTGTGCACGCACAGGACATAAAACACTACAACCAATTTACAACATCCAACTGAACAGAACCAACTGAACACCATTACGACCCATCCACAAAGCACAACTGAAATCCAAAGGTTTAATGGGTTCAAAAGTCTGGTCAACTGAACACCTTTATGACCCATCCACAAAGCTCTAAGCACAACTGAAGTCCAAAGGTTTAATGGGTTCAAAAGTCTGGGAAAAAGCCATGGAAAGCCCAATCGATTCTTATATTGGTTGAAACTGATTACTGACAAAAATAAATAAATGAAAGCTAAATCTGTCTATCAAACCCTGTAATATTTTGCCAAGGGCACAAGCTGACCTCCTCTATTCTATACCAACTCACTAGCAGCTAGATTCAGAAGCTGAATACAGTATGTGTGTGTCATATTTTAAGATGGCATAACACTGTTAATTTTTTATGTAACAATTTTAAATTTACTGCAACTTCTTAGTCCAGAAATACCCATTTTCTACCTTGTCATTTTTATAACACGTCAAAGTATTTTAGTGCCATTGTTTTGGTGTTTTTTGTTGTTGTTGTTGTTTTGAGATTCATAAAATGCACAAACCAGAACACACATCAAAGTATTTTAGTGCCATTGTTTTGTTGGTGATGGTTTTTTGTTTTGTTTTGTTTTGTTTTTTGATTCATAAAATGCACAAACCAGAACACACTCTGGTCTATAGATCTGTAATAGAAGAGTAGTCCTCACTCAGATCTACAGATCAGAACCTTTTTTTATATCTAGACAATTTATGGAAATTGTAAATGCATAGAGCAGTGGTCCACAACCTTGGGCCTCCAGATATTCTTGGACTTCAGTTCCCAGAAATCCTGACCAGCAGATGTGGTGGTGAAGGTTTCTGGGAGTTGTAGTCCAAGAACATCTGGGGGCCCAAGGTTGGGGACCACTGGCATAGAGGATAGGCACAGATGAGCATATGGGCAACTTCAGCTGCATTTCCTGTTCAGGAATATTTTAGTGGCAGTTGCCAATTCTTGACACACAAAATACGAGGGGGAAACACCCTCTAAGGGTATAGGTGCAATATTACAAACTCGAGAACTGGCTCCTGGATAAAAATAAAGCAAAAATGTGCACATCCATTTAGGTAATTTTGTGAGTGTAGGGCAGTGGGACTAACACATGTGCCGATAGTTGCAGAAAAGAAGTGTACATTCCAGGCCTAAATCATGGAATAGATTTAAACAAATGCACCCCAATTATTCTGATAATAGTATACAAACTATCACAGCTCTATTGCATCTACTTTAATTTTTCTTTAATCACACTTTAAACACTCAGCTGGCAAGGCTGGTAAGAGAAATTCATCAGCTTTCTGAAAACAACCAAAAGATAATGAATGTTCAAATGCTCTAGAAGGGGATCTGTGTTCTTTTTATAGGGCACTTATTTCAAAGCCATGTGCTGTCTTATCATTCTGACTTTTTTTTCATTCCCCTAAGACAAGTGGATACAAAAATGCCATTTTATCCATTATAAGTGAAGCCTAGCACACTTACCTACTGGAGTATCTTCATTGATCAACAGGTATGTGTCGAAGAAATAATTTATGAAGTATGGCAATCGATTGCTCAGACCTGGAAAAGTTGGGAAAGAGAAATACTTTGTTTATAATTGTGAAGTCAAGTGCAGGTTGAGCTAAATGATATTTTGTTACAGTGAGAACCTTGAGGAAAATAGGTGGTACTGCAGAGGGTAGGAAAGGGAGTGCTTTGCATGACCTAAAGCGATATTAGGCATAACTCAGCAACTGAAAAGCATTTCTTCCTGGTCTACATGCTGAAATAGAATGGGGGAAGATCCTAGATCACAGTGGAGCATGGCAGAAAGTAGTAAGGGGTCAGAAAAAGCTGGGGATTAGACCTGATAACATCCCTGTATAGGATACATAAATACTTAGAGCCTTTCCCTAGGATGTTTCGAAAAACAAAAAAAATCATTAAATAAACATAAGAACACAAGAAGAGCCCTGCTGGATCAGGCCAAGGGCCCATCTAGTCCAGCTTCCTGTATCTCAGAGTGGCCCCATCAGAAATATACATACCATATTTTTTTCTGTGTATAAAACAACACTTTCCCCTAAAATAATTAGAGGAAAAATTGAGTGTTGTTTTATACACGGAAGGACGCAGTCCTTTTACAGTACTTTAATAAAGATCTTCTCTCTATCCTTGGATAACATCTCCACTGGCTCTACACAACTTTTAATATTGTAGTTGTCTCTCATCCAGAACTCTATTAGCATGCATGTGATAACAGTGCAGCCTTGGAGAGAACTTTGTGAAGAGGAAAGGTTGTTTTCCAAACCACTTCTGAGTTAATTCCAAATGAATTTTGAGGGGAATTAACCCATCACAGTTTAGGAGAAAAACAATAAAATTATGCAGGTATACACACCAAAATACAGAATCATTCTGCCTCATTCATCCAGCTGTTGTGTGCAACCCTCGCTATCTGGCTGTTCCGCATGACTGCGCATCTTGGCAGATTTGTTTTCAAAGCATAGGCTAACCAAAGCTATACCTGAAACAACACTGTGACAGACACTTCCGTTATACGGCACTTTTCCAGAAAGGGTATGAAACCTAACTTTCCCATCCATTAGCTTTCCCACCAAGCTAATATGCTATGTTATCTTGGGCTCATGGCCATTGTAGTCCAAAACATCTGGATTGTGCCAACATAGGGGAAGCTATGCAAATCCAGTATGAATATTTTCCCAAAGGCAAATGTATGTTTCTTTAAAAATTATTATTGAAAGCTGTTACAAATGCAATATGAATATTTTCCCAAAGGTAAATGTATGTTTCTTTAAAAATTATTATTGTTATTTTGTTGCAAGGGGGTGGTGATGCAGGCAGTCCAGGGGAACAGGGAAATGGAAATTATTGTTTTAGCACATGATTAATACTTCATATTGTTCTCATGGCTGTGAGCTTTTTGCCTTGTCAACCTTAATTCCATCAAAGCATCCCTTACTTTCACCTTTAATAATAGTCCTCACTTATTTCAGTTGCCAGTTTATTTAGCTTGATCGCTGTCGGGCCTCCCCCTCTTCTTTCGACCCTTGCCCGGCCTGACTAATCAAAGCAGCCAGGCCTGTAACAACCAAATGGGCCACCACAATAATTAATGGGTCTCTCCAGGAGGGCAGGGTCCCCCTTGCCCTCAAGGAGACACTCATTAGGCCCATTAGGAGGTAACCAAATTTGGCGACGGACGACATTGGAAATTATAGGCCCGTCGCCAATGTTTCTTTCCTAAGCAAAGTGGTGGAGAGGGTGGTGGCAGATCAGCTTCAAGCGCTCTTGGACGAAACCAACACTCTGGACCCATTCCAGTTGGGTTTCAGGCCGTGCTATGGTACAGAAACGGCACTGGTCACACTGATGGATGACCTGCTGAGGGAGGCTGATGGGGGCAATATGTCCCTGTTGGTCCTCCTTGATATCTCAGCGGCCTTTGATACCATCAACCATGGTATCCTCCTGGGGAGGTTTTCTGAGATAGGAATTGGTGGCCTAGCGTTTGCCTGGCTCCATTCCTTCTTGGAGGACCGTCCCCAGAGAGTACGGCTTGGAGAGAATGTCTCCAACAGGAGTCGATCATCTCTCCAATGCTGTTTAACATCTACATGAGGCCGCTGTGCGGGGTCATAAGGGGGTGTGGGGCATCGTGTCATCAGTATGCTGATGACACACAGCTCTACATCTCCTTTTCATCTACCTCAGTGGATGCCGTTCTGTCCCTTCAGCGCTGCCTGAAGACTGTACTGGAATGGATGCAGTCAAATGGGTTGAGGCTGAACCCGTACAACACGGAGGTCTTGAGGGTGGGTGGTCCTTCCACCACCGGTATAGGTAACTCCCTTTCTTTTGGGGGGACAACCCTTGCCGCAAAGAGTGAGGTCTGCAGCTTGGGGATACATCTGGACCCGGCGCTTACCATGGAAACTCAGGTGGCGACCATGATCCGCTCTGCCTATTTTCATCTATGGCGGATTGCCCAGCTGCG